AAAAAAAAAAAAAAAATGAACCCACTGAGTATAGTGGTAAGAATGATATGCTTTGGAATTGCAGGTGTTTGGGAATTCCTGTCTTTCATCCTAGCTCTGCCACTTAACTAGCTGTTCTAACCTTGGCAAATCCCCTTTCTGAGACTGTTTCCACATCTATAAAATCGGAGATAATTTCTAACTCATCAAGTACATATCTTTCACATTATTATTTCCCTGAATTTCTTAAATGTTTTATATGGCCATCTTGACATAGACACAAAGACACAGGTAACAGAAAAGTAAATGTCTATTCCCATACAATATTAGTTATATTTTTACAATCTGCTTTCACAAAGCAATCCTAGAGATTAAATAGGTAAAGATTTTAATACAGATACTGACTCTGTGTGTCCTAATTGAGACCAGGAGAGAGGGAGCACTTGGAATAAAAAATTCAGTTGCAACTTTACCTGCCTTATATTCCTGTACAGTTATTTCACAAAACAAGAGTACTTAAATTCTAAATCACAACCAACAGACTGGGCCATAGCTACCAAGAATGTTAAGTTATTTATAATTTGGTGCCAGAATGAACATAATCCTGAAAAGGTGTAACAACTCACAAAATCTCCAAAACATTAATAAAAAGTCTGATAGTTTTGCAAACACGGTTTTAAAAGTAAATTTACATAAATTCTAAATTTGCATTTAGCTTCAAAATACAATTTTGGCAAGCAGGAATACTCAAAATATTATAATGAAGTATCAGTTTTAACTAATAATCATACTGAGCCCCATGAGGTTAAGGGATTTCTCCAAACTATAAAATAATCCATTTGCCATAAGTATAGACAAGTATCAATTACATTCCTCTAAATGTAGCAAAAAAGCATTGATAACTCAACATATTGTGTGTGTGTATTATACATATAATACACACATACATATGCGCATATTTACCCACATATGTTAAAAAACAAAAACTACAATCAACATTACCCATCCAAAGGACTATCAAGTGAGGGACAACTTCCTGAGCCAGAATTTTCAGGACTGCTTAAAAGTAATGGGTCCAGCATCTAGAAAAATATATAGAGTTCCACCATTTGATATAATATAACCAGAAGTTAGTTTTTTAAAAAAATAGCTTTATTGAGATATAAATCATGTAACATAAAATTCACTCATTTAAAGTGTAATGGTTTTTAGTATATTGAGAGTTGTGCAACCTTCATGACAATCTCAGAACACTGTCAGTACTCAAAAAAGAAACCCCATACCCAACAGAGGTCACCCCTGCCCTACTAATTTTTAAATGCTTAAGATGTAGTTGTCCCTTATAGGTGGGCTACTTCAAAATTTTCTAAGAGAAAAATATTGTTTCTCTATGGACTAAATACATAAAAGCTTTAAATTTCACATAATTTTGCTTAGTGTAAACAGAACAAAGGCCCCACCCAAATGAGACCGCTGACTGCCACATTACTAGAAAATGAGACTGCAATTGTAAGCAGCCAATGTAAGGCTAAGGAACAACAGGAACTCCATGGAAATACTTCAATACTACAAAACTTTTAATAACTTTTTTCTCTATTTCGTTTGTTTATTTTGTTCATTAGATTCCACAAAAATATGGAACGCTTCAGGAATCTGCACATCATACCCGTGCGAGGGCCATGCTAATCTTCTCTGTGTGGTTTCATGTACAGCATACATGCTGCTGGAGTGAGCACTTACTAACATTTTTAAATGTTTTAGAAATTGATAAACCTCACCTTCACAAAGTTAAATATTTGTTGTTTTATTACATCTTTCAAATATTAATTTAAAAATCTAAATATTAACCCCAGGGTTACAAATGCATGCATTTATTTATGGATGGGCAATATAAAATAACCTGCCTTATCCCAGCTTTCTTTATGCATGAATGCACACGACACACATAAATTAGTGGGCACTTTCCTACATTTTTTACTATTTTGTTCACTGAAGGAAGATATGGGGTTGGAGAAGAGATGTAAACACACACACACACACTCTCTCTCACACAATACACACACACACAAGTATCTGCCAAACTACACTGATCTTGACAAGATCCCTTTAAATAAAATGAAAAACCACATCCAACTTTTGCTTACTTGGTCCATGCTCTCTGGAATAAACTCTCCTTCACTGTTGATACTGGTGAATGACCCATTCCGGGCAACCTGATGTAATTCATCTGGAATGTATCCTGGGGGAGGGGAGCTTTGATCTCTACTAGTGGGACCTCAAAGAAGAAAAGTATATGATTTTATAAAGATCAGCATGGAATCCATTTTTGTTTTAATTATACACAGAATTTCTGGACTATAGTACCAATAATTTTAGCAACTGAAACCCAGTTTTTATTAAAACTTATCAAAACATTCATGTCTGTGAAACTGCAAATATTTTTATACCTTTCTAAACACCCACCCTACTATAATTATTACCCCAATGTAATATTCATTTACACTTATTAAGTGGTACATTCTTCTGGCTGCTGATTACTGCACTGTGGGGTTGATAACACAAGACAGATTTCTAAATGAATGCCGCTGCTTCTGAACTCCCAGAGGTCACTTGTGCCAGGTGTTACCCCTCAATGTAATTTATGGAAGGTGTCATGATGCAGTGGAAAGAATACAGGCTTTAGAGTCAGACCTACGTTTAAATCCCAGTTCTAGTTATTCACCAGCTATATGTCTTTGGGAAAGTTATCCAGTCTCCAGAAACCTGTTTCCTCACCTGTAAACATGGGACTGAATCTCTTTGCTGCACGAGGATTGTGATTATAAAATTATTCATAATGAACACATGCTATGCACACTTGGCTCCAAAACTTTCTTTCCATTCCCTCTCTGTCGTCTTTACAAACCTAAAGTGAGTTGACTTTTCTTAACCACTTAGTCCATATTAGAGTGCTTTCAATTTGGAGTCCTGAATTTTATCCTTTGGTACTTAAAACCAGGCATTTTTTTCTGTGTGGCAAGCCATGTTCCTGAAATGTACATTTCTTCATAGTTTAGAAAATTGGAGAATATAGTTCACCTAATTAATCACCTAATTTCTTCCTGACAATAATCCACTTTTTTTATCTGGTTGTACAGAAATAATGTTATGTTTATTAACACAGCTCCTCTCCTTTGCTTCTAATTTTTTGAAATTCAACTACAAAAAACATATGGGAAAGTTCTATGAGCATTAAAAGCTCTGATCAGATTTAAAACAAAAAAAGGGCTTTGCCTTATGTAAAGGGGTGATAGTTAAGTATACAGCAGTACTTGTTAGTGATGAAGTAGGGAAAAGAGAATAAAATTACCAAGAAATGTGAACAAAGGAGATCATTTCCTACACGTGACTAAAATGAGTAGGGACTCAACTCTAAGCCAGGGGTTGATTTAGGCTTTGTAACAACTGTGATCACACTGTCCTAATATTTTTATTCCCTCCTTATACCCTTGATTATAAAAGAAGATTAATATACCAGTTACTAAAAGGAGACAGGGAAGAAAAAAAGACTATGAAGTGTCTTCATCTCCTTACTTACTAACCCATTTCTCTTCCCTTCTGCTCCTCACAATGGGTGTGCCAACGCACACTTGGTCACGACCTCCACACCAGCGTAGGCTCCCTCCCAATGGAAGTTTTCCCTCTAGCTATCTTTTATGAAAATTGTTCAAGGGAATAACTGTTAGTGAACAAGGAAGAAAGAGAATGCTCATATCTATCAAAGCCATTCTGAGTTTAAAGAGGTTAGTACTTTACAATGTCCGGTTTCTTCTTATACTGGCAGTGAAGCCAAACAAGAATGTTTATTAGCAGAACACGAGTGAGATATTCAGTACAATTTTAATTCAAAATGAATTTAAAACGTCAGCTTACTTGTGTATTAGCCTGTTCTGTCTAATGCAACTAAAATAAATTGGCAATTTTTGCCCTGGCCAGAGTAGCTCAGTTGGTTGGAGTGTCGTCCCGTGCACCATAAGGTGATGGGTTCAGTTACCGGTCAGGGCACATACCCAGGTTGTGGGTTCAATCCCTGGTTGGGACATGTACGGGAGGCAACTAATCGATGTTTCTCTCATATCGATGTTTCTTTCTCTCTCCCTTCCTCTCTCTAAAATCAATTAAAAGAAAGAAATGTATAATTACTAATGGTCGTGCTTTCTAGTTTGAAAAGCAAAATGTACTTTAAAGGTGCTCTCTCAATTTATTGCTACAACAATCCCATGATTTAAAGATGTGGACAAAATTAATGATCTCAGGTTAATTAGAGAGCTGGAACTGGAATTCAGGTATCCCTAATGTTCTTTCACCAAAATTTTAAATTATATAAAAATATTTCCAAATGTAGATGAGCAATTTTTATTTTACTCATGTTATTTTCTCTGTTGCTCACATTTTCAGCATTTCTGAAAACAAAAGTAGGACTTCTGTAAGATGGATACTCAGAAGGAAATAGTCATAAAATAGTTGTCTCTGGGGACCAAAGCAGAAGATAAATAACTAATATTTTTGGTGGTTCACATGCTAATTTAATCTTCTTTTGTTATTAACAATCCTCCCTGTTACCAGCCCCAGACTCTCAACCACATCTCTCCTCTGTCACCTCTCCTGCCTCCTCCCCTTTCATTCATCTGTTTGCCTCCTCTTCTGTCCCCTCCCTTCAGTCCCCTCATATGTTTTTGTGCTATCTTTAATGACAGATTCATCCCCCAATCTGTCAAAAACATTTATACCAGTGGTTTTTGAGCAATATAATGCTCTTACAATATAAAAGTGTAGATTATCAGTGTTTTAAACAAACTGAAGACCGGGCAGTTCAGAGCACCTCTGCCCAACCCATGCCCCTCTCACAGGCTCCTTTAAAAAAAAAAAAAGGCATAGTTTCCATTTCTCTTTGCACCATAAGCTTAATTATAACAATATATTATTAATGAGAAATAAAAACTGAATACTAATAAAGCATAATCTGGAAACTATTTTGATAACACTCTTGGCATTAACTAAACTTCAAAGAAAGGCAACTTACGAACTTATTCCATCCATTAATTTTATTTCTTTAATCATCACCTGAGGTCATGCTTAGAGAGGGGGATGGGGAAAAGAAACATCAACGTGAGAGAGAAACATCCATCAGTTGCCTTCAGTATGCTCCCCTACTGGGGACCAAACCTGAAACCCAGGTATGTGCCCTGACTGGGAACTGAATTAGCAACCTTTCAGTGCAGGGGACAACGCTCTACCAACTGAGCTACTCCAGATGGACCATCCATTCATTTTAATATATTAAAATACTTCTTTTCATTTTTTCCCTGCAGTTTATTTGTACAGGTAAAATGTCTTGAGTAATTTGAATCTGTTCAACATTAAAATGTTGGGGGGATATAAAGAAAGAGTGTGTAAGTTGGAGACTGCCAATCCTGATACTTGAGGTAATTTTTCAAGAAATATCAGATACTCCCCGCTGATGTGGCTCAGCAATTGAGCATCTACCTAGGATCCAGGAAATTGTGGTTTGATTCCTGGTCAGGGCACATGCCCGGGTTCGGGATTGATCCCCAGCAGGGGGTGTGCAGAAGGCAGCCGGTCAATCACTCTCATCACTGATGTTTCTCTCTCTCTCTCTCCCCCTCTCCCTTTCTCTCTCTGAAGTCAATAAAGACTTTTTAAAAAAAAAAAAAAAAAAAAAGAATATCAGCTACTACAGAGACAACAGTATGGTGAGAAAAAGAAAAAAGAAAGATCTAGAACATAGTTAACTGAGATAAACTATAGAGAACATAGAGATAGGCTGCTATTTATCAGAGTTATGTTTAGGTTACATAAAAGGATAGAGAAAAAACTGAGAAGTCGCCCATTCACAATTCAGACACTAGCTTTCTTACCTAGTACAGAAAGCCGTTTTTTCCTCTCTGCTTCGAATACTGTGTTATCCGAATGATCTAGTGATGGCAATGGTTCTAAATTAGTAGCCTACAGAGGAAAAAGGAGGGTTAATGCTACTCTTCCCCTCTAAGGCTTTAACAAAATCCTCTTCCCTACTAAAAACATCCTAGAGATTCTACATTGTTTGTGGGTCTGATCAAATCCACTCTTGGAAATTTTAACATAATTCTTTCCAAGTTCTTAGTTTCTGCTAGTTTCATATGTACAGTATATTACACTTGTAATTTTGGCTATATAGTTTTGAGGAGTAAGGATTTAAACTATAGCAGTTACAATGTGTAAATTTTCATTTAATCATACTGAAAATATATCAATAATAATAGACTATAACCATGTTTCATATGTTGACTTTTACAGGCATAAACCCTATAGTCCTTGCTGAAAAAACCCAACTCATACCTGTGCACTTCCGTTTATTACAAGTAGTATTTTGAGGCTCTTCATATGAATACTGCGGTCCAGCAGTTCCACGGCCTTGTCCAAGTCATCTTGAGTAGTTAGTGGAATTACCAACTAAACAAAAAGGAAAATTAGGAATCATGCAGACATCTCCCAAGGTTCAGTCCTTCCAGGACCATCTCTGTCACTATGGAATTGTAACTTATAACTCTCAAATACCTGCCTCTTTGATTTGTCAGTATAATGGAATTCTGAATGAATACATGTATCCAGATTGTTTTGTTCTTCCAATTCTACCAGCACTAAAATAACAGAATAAATATAAACACTTTTTTTGCTTTTTGAATCATTAAATTTTTCAACACATTTAAAAATTAATTATCTAGGATATTTCCATAATATTGCTAAACTTAAGCTATAGTATCTTCACTCCAAAACAGCATTAAAGAGTGCACACGAAAACTACATAAAATAAAGGGTACTATTATCTTTTGTCTGCACTGATGAAACTTTTAGTTGTTGTGTGTTTTTTAATAGTATCATGGATTTGCATTCTCACTGGATGTGCTTATCAACATACCAAACACAATGAGCATCTGTGCAGCTGCACTGGAGGGACTCATATCCCTAACCCTGGTGACTTGACCACTACTCTAAACAAATAGAAGCGAAGTCAGTCAGCGGCCCACAGTGAATCCTGATGTGGAAACCTGCTTTCATTGTTCCCCAAGTGGATCAGACGTTACAAAGGACAAAAGCACCTGGGGGTATATGAGACCAAGCATGATTCATACAATTAAACAAAATCAAAATACCTTTTTCTTTTTTAAAAAAAGAAACTTAGTAGCATAAGACGATTCTTTCAACAACCTTCAAAGTATATCCAATTTCATTAAAAGAAGGACAATAAAAACAAGTGACCGTATCCCACATTTAGCCTGCTCTAATTAGCACAGTATATAAGCCATTCAAATGTAAAGACCTAGTTAGTTTTGGGTCCTTTACAGTGTAAATTCCTTGAAGACAAGGACGCCCTACCAACCCCCCCTCCCCCGCCACACACACACAATTAACCGGGAGCACAGAGAAGAGCAAGCACTTGCTACATGTTGTTCAGTAAGTATCAAAGGGTGAAAGCTCCAGCGGCACCCAAACCCGCGAGCTGACCCGGCGTGCACTCATTCTGTACGATTTCCTTATGAAAAAATTCCTTGTCTTAAGAACACTGTCAGACACAAATACAGCAGGTCCTCATGTATAGGAACCTAACTAGTGTTTATATCAATTAGTCTACGGTGAAAATGGTTTCATTATAAGTTGTTTCATTTAAAGTCACAGAACCTGCCTACCCTGTTAAGGGAGGACTAATGAGAAAGAATTCCATCACACAATCTGCTTACGGTCACTTAATCTGTGCTGGAAATTATATTTCCAATTTCTGCAGGTAGCTAATTTTATACATTACAACTTATCAACTCATCAGACCCTTTTTTCTCTATGAGAATTTTTTCTAATAACAAAAAAATATTAACTGTTTGGTACCCTAGAACAAGCCTGATGTACTTGATTAAATTCTTGTCATTATGTCAATTATGAACCGTACTGTACATCTTGTTCCTATCTTTAATATTCTTTTTTATTATACTTTAAGCACTAGAAAACATTTTAAAGAAATGATGAAGGTTGTTTTACCAATTTTTCATTTAAAGGGAAAAGCTGAATATTTGCTTTTACTACACATTTAATTATAATTGGAATACTTACTTCTACAAGATATTGTTGCCTTGGGGAAAAATACTAGTTTAAATCACAGTAACAAAATGTTAAGTGTTTTGCTCTTCTCCGTTTGCAAACAATGGGAAATACGGATGTTCTGGAGAGGTGCCGGGAGCCCACGCTACTAGGAACGTGGTTCTCATGTGGTCCCTTGTGTGTTCTAAGGTCACCTGTTATACGTTTTACAGGTCCCTACACTTGTCTAAATTATACTAAATAAATCACACAATGTTTTCCTGCTTCATGAATTCATTCTAGCCTCATTCATGAAATCGATTTCCCTCTGGCATATTACTGATAAATCACTTGTGTTTTAATACAAAACCCTTCTGAAAAGGAAACTAAAAATTGAATTCAAAAATTCACTAAATAGAACCTAAATTTGAAAGAAGTAAATTATCTTCCTGACTTTACATAGTGAAACATGAAAACAGTCCATAAAAGTTTTCCTCCTCTATCCATCTAAAATGGAACCAATCTTAAAAATCCACTTCCTGTACTTTCTTTTTTTCCCGCCCCTTTTAATCCTCACCCTAGGACAGGATATGTTTTTATTGACTTTTAGAGAGAGGCGGGGAGAGAGACAGACAGACAGACAGAAACACTGATGTGAAAACCTTTTGGTGGACAGGACGGGTCAACTCTCCAAGCAACTAAGTCACCGGGCCAGGGCAGAAAATCCACTTACTTTCCCTTCACGCCCTCATATCTATCCCCCATGACAACACACACAGACACATACACACCTGACACTTTTTACATAAACAGGAGCCCAACGAACAAATCCAATCAATTCTGGCTTAAATTTACTGGTTGTTTCGGTTCTGGCAAGCTAGAAGTCAATAGAATAACGGTTCTTTTGGAAAAAATTTATATTACACTAGAAAAAAATATTTATAGAACTGGAATAACAAGCAGTATAAATGAGTTTTCTGCTTGTCCACAGGCCCACAAAACTAACATCCCTTGAAAGTTCTTTCCTAGCACCCCAATGTTCAACAGCATGCATTGAGTTGATCATGATGTAAATTATGACATGGTTAATTCATAGAATCACAGATCCTCACAGAATCTCTCAGTCCAAGAAACTTTAAACAACATGATCTCTCATCCTAATGCCTCTTTTACCATATTCCTGCCCAAGGCCACCCATACATAATGGCAGAACCATTCCCAGGAATCCTTCAGAAAGTATGAGGGGAAGAAAAAAAACTGAAAATGGAGAAGTTTTCCTATTTTTAGAAAATGGAAGAGGGTTCCTAAAACAACAGATCAATTAGCTTGATGTCAGACCTCAAGAAAATCCTACAAAAATTATATAAACAAATCGGAAGAACTCAGAAAAGAAACATGATTCTAGGAACAGGACAGGGGTACAGTATGAAAAAAAATGATGTCAAACTAACACCATCATTTTTCTTGATAGCTCTACTTGCCTGTTACATCAAGACAACATTGTAGTCTTAATGTACTTGACATCTGAAAATTTTCTATGACACAGTTTTAGACCAAACCAAAACAAAGATGCATCTGGGTTCCCCTAGAATCATACCATGACATAAAGATTCAAGTTCAAGACTGTTTATATGGGAAGACACACTAAGAAACACTGGTAGGGAAGTGGGGAAGGCGGGGAAGAGAAGGAGATCCATAAAGGGTGTATTTTTCAGCAAGTTATCACTATGGGCAAGTGGAGCCTATCCATCCCCATCTCCCACCCTATCCTTGGTATGTACTTCAGCATAGGCCCTTTAACCATACCCCTGAAAAGCCAACAGGGTCTCAGGGACTGGCAGTTGGAAATCAGGCCAGCACAAACAGAAATAATAAGTGCCAAGACAGGGCGAGGCAACAAGGGGTTCATGGCTATTAAAGCCAAAAAGTATTTGAAAAATAAAATTTTAAGGTATTAAAATATTACAGCACTCATCACTTTGTTCAGGTATCTTACTTCTTTGGAAATGGATTTTTTATCAAAATATTTTCCATTTTCAGTTGTGTTTCTTTAGACACACTTATATTAGTATATTCTTCTGCTTTAACAATTCATTTGAAATTTATTTGCATAATGCTTTAACATTTGCAAAGCAATTTCATGTTTTCTAAAACTAATTTTTACTAAGCTTTCCACTGTCACTCCATTCCCACTGGTCCCCTTTCTGTTCCTGAAACATGGAAGTCTTTTCCATGTTAGGACCTCCACGCTGCTCTCAAGCTGCTTTCACTACCAAGAATGCTCTTTCCTTCAAACACTTTGCAGGGCTGGCTTTTCGTGCTTCAGTTCTCAGTAATTAGACATTAGCACCTCAGTCAGTTCTCCCTCAGTACTACCTAAAAAGAGTACCTGCTGCCCTTGCCTTTATTCTTGATCACAATACTTTATGCATTTCCTTCAAAGAACTAAATATATTTAAACAGCTCATTTACTAACTATCTGCTTCTACTACAAGTCTATAAATTCCATAAGGAGCTATAATTCCTAACTCATAGCATTATACCTGGCAATTCAACAAGTATTTTCTGAGGGGATGAGTAAAGCAACAACAACAAATCACAGTAAAAATTAACCAGTTAACTACGTTGTCCCTGAAAATTTTAAGACCTGAAGATCTTGAGATCTCCTCATAGGATCTGAAAGAATCTCCAGAGATCATCGAATCCAATCCAAATTTTACAGAAGTTTCAAAAGGGGTTTCCCCAGAACAGAGAGCTCCTCAGTGCCAGCCACAGCAGCCCTTATGATCACGTACTCACTCCCAAACATAAGCATGATCTAATCATGTCTTAACCAGCGTGAAAATAATCCTGTAAGTTTAACTAAACTATCTCAGTACCAAAGCTCTACTATCTCCGTAGCCAAGGACAGAGTATGAGGAAAGACATTTTATCAATAAAGTACACAGAGTAAAAATATAACATAAATAAGCAGCCGTCTCAGTAATATATATATATTTCCTCCTTAAATAGATTCTCATTGAATTATTTTCACAGTAGAACCTTTTAATATTTTTGACAATGGAAAAAAACCCATTTTAATTTGTTAAATTTATAAATTTAATTGTGCTCTATCATTCCTCTAACACACCATATCCTTATCAATCCCTGAATAAAATCACAGCAGTCCTAAAACAGTCTCTGAAATGAACACACTACTTTCCAAAATAAGAACTACTTAAAGTTAAACTTCTCGTTTACCTCATTATTGGTATAATGTAGCTCCATAGACTGTCCAAAGGCAACTTTAGCTTTAGACCTCAGATCTTCCAGTTTAACTGGTCTGGGGAACTGAAGGATTCTGTATAAACAGAATTTTAAAATATTTTATTTCCTTAGGCATCGTTAAACAATATACTTCAACAGTTATCTCTTGGATAGAGAAATTAAAATTAAGTAAAAATGTAAGCATTCACTTTATGTGAACACTACAAAGGCTTATTTTTGATCAAGTGCACTAATTCTCAACACTAAGTTCAAAAACTTGAAGTCTGTTCTATCTTAATAAAAATTATAAAAAGGAAATTCTTAAAATCTTCTGCAGTTTCTAATTTGCACTAAAACTGTTATATGAATATTAAACAGAAATGTAAAATGTTCACTGAAGAAAATAATTAAACTTAACTGCATGACACCCACACAACGGAATGGACCAAAACTGTTAACAAGAACAAAAGTCATCCTTTGGGGATTCAAATTTTTATTTCTGTAACCTTATCAACTTTTAAATATAAATATTTTAAATATAAATATAAATATTTTTAAAGGATTAAAATTTTTTAATTCTAGTATTTTCTTCCTATGTCACAACACAGTGGCCTGTGCTGTCCCTGGGGACCATGCACCTAAGCTTGGCGATGTCTATGCTGGCCTGTAAGCTCTGTAAGAGGAGGGGCCATTTGTGCCATTGACTTTATCCCTTCATGGCCCAGCAGATAGTAAGCACTCAATAAATAATGTTCCATGAATGGAAAAAACAAAACTGTGAAAATATCCATAAAAGAATTGTAAATAGAAAACAAGTAGAATGGACAACAGTTGTATGGTGTATCTGGTATGTCCCAATTTTTTAAACCATATCTCTGTGTAAAACATTTTTACATCTCAGGTCATATGATGTATGAGCCTTTTGAAAGTCCTAAAAATAAATAGATCTTTCATTAAATTAATTTAATGAGATATGAATAACAAACATGAAATCCCATATTCTCCAGCTCCTATTAGTCTTGTTAATAATTCTGTTGTTAACCATCACCACCCATCTCCACTACTGTACTGAGATACAGATACCTGGAACAAGACTAGGCTTACACCTCTGCTAAATAATTTACAGCCACCATTCCAACCCATTTCCCTCAATATTACTAATTAAGTACATGCCATATGATTGAGGTACCTTGAGTATAATCAGAATTGTGAATGGTAAGTCCACATGCATAATTCTGTATAGTATAATTATGATAGGGAGATTTATGATAGGAAGATAATGACATGATTATGATAAGCAAAAAAAAAGGAAATGGTAATATTCAATGGCTGTATTATGTAATCTTATTTACTTCCTAATATCGCAAAATAAAAACATTTATCCTTTCTAACGTTTGGCATGAATTTTGACAGCTTCTACCTTAAATCTAAATACATATTACACACTACCAAGGACTATTCCATCTCAATTTGTAAGCCATGAGCCTTCATTAAGCTATAGAAAAAACCTCTCTCTAATGGCTTTAACTAGAACATGTATTTAAATCATTTAAATCAATAATCTGAAATGTAATGTTTCTTTTCTTACCTTTTTTCTCCTCTATGTTCAAATTTGACTCGGACATCATTCTATAATGAAATGATAAATCATTTCAGAAATCAGATAAAATTTCTAGAATTTCTAAATCACTTTTTTCTTAGGCACTCATTTAAAACAGAGCAGAGGGGGAAGGAGGTTTCATTTCAATATAATTCCAATCAATTGATAGGGTCTGCCAAGGAGCCAAGTTGAGAATTAGGTGGCTGAATCTGGGCTCAGCAGGAAAGACCACCAAGATCTGTAAGTGACAGCATCATGGGTATCAGGCATTTGCTAAATCCTGTAAGAATCAAAATGATCCTCTTTGTAGACAAAGAGAGTAGGTTACTTTAAATGAAAACAATTTGCTTATGTGAAGTACTTTAAGAATGGATGAAATAGCGTCAGAGAGCAGTTACCACATTAAATGCAACGCTATCTTTTTTTTTTTTAAACACACACCCTTATTTTAAAAATATGTAACAAAATATTTGATTGAAAAGTATTAAAATATGAATACTTTAAGCAAACCTCTATAAGATCAGGATATTCAAGAAAAATAATTCACAGAACAACAATATAACTTTTTAAAAATATTACTGAAACAAATACCTGCTTTTTTGGTGATAAAGATTTTGTTTTTCTGGTTTCCTGTAAGGATAATGCTGGTCGACTGGCCTTATGAAGAACAGCCAAATCTTGCATGATTGAGTTCAAAGCTTGCTGATCATCTAGATATTTTTAAAATAACATACTCAGAATTATAATTTCAATATGTATTTTCTACTGACATCAAACACAAAATTAATAATGAAATTTAATGCAAAAATGCATCTAGAACATTTTCAATGCCTATGCTTCTGTTATTTTGGTGAAATAAAATTTTAATTATTTAAAAACTGAAGGCAGTAACATTAAAATAGCACTGGACACAAGCACTAGCATGCTACCAGGTGTCCACACAAGACATTTACAGGCAAAACAAAGTAATTCTGATTCTTCTAGTGATGTAACATCCTAGAATATAGGTCAAAACAGCCCTGTTATGACAAGTATGACAAGTTCTTCTTTTCTATGACACCTAAACAAACATCACAAGACATCTAAAATCTTAATTAAAACAAGTGGGGGGAAATAACTTTCTATAAATATCATCATTACTTGGCATTTATGCTCAAAGTACAGAGTTCCTTTCAGAGCTCTTCTCCCGTTAGACGTCCTATTGACTCTGTAAGGTGCTTTCCTGGCCTTCTCCCCAACAAGCTCAATTAGACCACACATGTTTAAGACTCTCTCATAATCTCAGCCAGGAACAATTCAGAAAGGAACGGTATAAGAAAAATCCATTCCTAAGGAAAAAAGAACTAAGCCCTTAAAACTGAGTGAAAGAATCATGAACCATAAACTTTTAATTTTTTCCAAATATAGCAAAGATTTCTTCCTAAGACTATAAGCATGAGCCTCCTAGTAATGCCAATTATATGCTCGCTGGAAAACTTCAGGGACAACGTAATTGATTTTCACTAGTAAATCAATTCCACTAATAATAATAATACATAATTGGGAAATAAGGAATTTAGGGAGTTTACAGTTTACATTTTAAAATGTAACCATTTTGGTAATAATTTATGTTCCAGAATAGTAATAATTCACACATGCTTTATCTTGTCATGAAAAATCATTTAAAAGAATGTGGTGATTCAATGGTTTCATCAGTCTTTCAAACACACAAATACTGACTTCTCTAATGTATTAACACTCATATATTCTGTTTTGTAGTGAAACTATTTGCATATTAAAATGAAAATTAATGACTCCAAGGGTTTTACTAATAAATTCCACGTTTAGAAGAATTTTATAAGTAACCTTTGTAAAATAAAATTTCATCAAAATGTTAGCTTAGCCCAAGAGTAACTGAACCAAAGGGTATAATATAATCACAAAATGTGTATTGTCCATGGGTCCAAGCCAGACTATGTCATTTATTGATAAAAATAAATCTTCCCTTAAAAAAAAATTAGCTGAGAATGATCTCAACTGGAATAAAATTATCTGACATAACCTTCTTGAGAAAGGTAAGATTTTTAATTCTGCACTGGGTGAGGGGGATTCTAATACTTAAACATATCTATGTTTTAATTATTTTCTTCATTAGAAAAAACTTAAACACTAGAATTTAGGTATTTTCACGTTCACAATACAAAAATAAGCAAATGCCTGGGAAGGCTTTGAATTAAATCTCTTATCACATTTACATATATGAATTTCCTTGTTTTAAAAAAAAAAAAAGAGTACCGTTTTCTATCATATGTATACAAAAATAAAGAGGACCATTTGAATAAAAGTAACTTCTCAAAGAAGTGACATACTAATAAAGAGCAACTTAACTGACTTTCTTCTTTACTGGCTTGAAGAAGAATCATATGGTAAATAAATATCCAATAGGAAACTTACTTTAAAGAAGCAAACAAGATGTAAACTAACAAATCCACAAAAGATCAAGCAAAGCATGAGCTGAGATACACCACGAGCACTATTCTAACAATTCTCAGACTGTTTTACTCAATTAAGAATCTCTGTGGTAGTCATAGGTACTAGACAGATGAGACAGGTTATAAATGTTGTAAAGACCATGAGTTGATCCAACAGGCATGGCAGTAAGGATGTCCAGAGGGTTCCACAGTCTGACCAACAGTCACACAGAAGCAGCAGTGGGTTTCTGACACATGATGAAAGGACATTGAATATATTTGGGGAAAAACCAGAATATATTTGGGAAATAATTTCAAGTAAAATCTTTTATTAGACATGTTTAATTAGATACCTTATACTTAAAAATAATTACAGGAGAACATCCTCAATAAAAAATTCAAATATCTGTGACTCACACTAAAATATTCATGTTTTTCTAGGACTACTTTGGTATATGTTTTTAAGCAATGACTGTTCTTTGTTTTGTTGCTTAGTATAGTGCAGTATTATTTGAGAAGTATAGTAGAAATCAATTTGATTAATACACAGCTCAAACTGCAAGTCAGAGTAACCAAAATGAAAAGTTGATAGTTCAGTAAAAGGGTACCCAATTTGAAGCTGACAAAAGTGGAGAATTTGGACCATGTGATGGCACTGTACTCATGGTTACCAAGAGAAACCTCCGTATTGTTTTCCATAGTTACTACAAGTTTATCACGCACACAGGAAAAAATTTTCTCTCCTATTTTACCCTTTAATTATAGATAAAAATTCTTTTAGTTTGAACTTACCCATCATGGCAACCAGCTCAACAATCTGAAAATTAGGGAAATGGTTCTCCCATCAGCATTCTTTACTGCCTTAGGAGGTAAAAAACAAACATTAATAATAAGAAAAAACAGAAGAGGCAGACACACACTCAAAAAATATCAGTATAAAAAACACTAATGAGAAATATACAATATTAATACTTTATACATTTTGCTGAAGACAGGTCCTTTATTTTCCCCAGACACTCAATTATTGAGAATGAACAAAAAAAACCCAATATTATTACTTCATATTAATTTTATATCAGGCCCCTGGCTATCTAAGCTAAAAACAAGAACCAAAGTTTTTGAGAGTCAAAAACCTTAAGAGATAATCTATTAAACTCAAATTCCTACAACACAATGGCAGATATGAAGATGAGTAAAAAGGGTCATGTTTAGAGACAAAAGGGAGGACATCAACAAAAACAGTAAAGACTTACAAAAATTATCTTCCATAAAAGGAAATATTGTCAGGATCAACTTTTTCAGAACTCTGACATTAATCAAAGGCTTGCAGCAATCTAGGCAGCATTTAAGCATCTCAATAAAAAGAGCGACTGCCCTGGCTGTTTGTTGTGAGCGTCGTCCCGATGCACCAAGGTTCCGGGTTCAGTTCCTTGGTCAGGGCACATACAAGCAACCAATGAATGCATAAATGAGTGAAACAACAAATCGATCTCTCTCATCAATAAATAAAAATTTAAATAGATAGGTAGGTAGGTAGGTAGGTAAATAAATAAATAAATAAATAAATAAATAAATAAATAAATAAATAAATAAATAGAAATTTAAGTAGAGAGAGCCTTATGGTGTTCTGACCCTCCCTATTTCTATCTCCCTGCCTTCTACTCCCAGCTCCAAAGTAGCAATGTAAACCAACAGCTCTCAATCACCATGAAAATGAGCAGCCTGGAAGCCATAGGATAGGACGGAATGTGGCAGGAATGCCTTCAAAGTCCGATTCTCCCAAAATTGTCATTATTTGACCTATCTAGTGGTTGGATGGAAGACCCCATTTGAAAGGCTGTCTTATATTTAACCTGACTCAAAGCTCTTTCAGTGCAAAAAGTTTAGGGTGTTTGTTAAAACCAATCAGGCAATTATTGCATTATTTCAACTGTCTGACGAAGGAGAAAACAGTTGGGGGCAAAACAATAGGTTAAGAAAAAAAATTTTTTTAGAAAAGCTGTGGAATGAGATGTCAACAGAAAGCTTTGAGACGCTCCAACAGATTCCTGGGAACCTAGAAGTCACACAAATGTCCACCAAGGTTGTTGCATACTGAAGAAAGGCCTAAGAAAGCCCTAAGGCTTTCACCTCTGACTAACCTTGAGGCTCTGTGCAGCAGTAAGTAAAGACTAAAGTGGAGTTGTAAATGCCCAGAAGAATGCTGAAGGCCAGCCTCATACAGAGAACCTCTCAAAAAAGATTGTGAAACTTACTGGTTCCAGGCATCTAAGAAACTAACTGAGCAGTCTTCAGTTGCCACACACAACAAAGAATTCAGACTTTAAAAAATTAGTTTTTAAAAGTCACTAAATGAATAAATAAGAATAAACAAACAAACGAAAAAATTGTGGAGGGAGGAGAATCTGATTTCCAGAGGTGGCACACTATAATATTTAAAATGTCCAGTGTTTAAGAAAATCATGAGACATACAAGGACAGCATGGTTCCATATACAGGAAAAAAAGAAATCAACAGAAGCTGACCCTCAGGAAGCCTACGTTAGCGGTTAGACTAACAAAACAAAGACATTAAATCAACTATTTTAAATATGTTCAAAGAACTAAGGAAGCCATGCGCAAGGCACTAAGGATGTATGAGAATGTCTCATCAAACAGAACATCAATAAAGAAACAAAATTTATTAAAAAAGGAACCAGATAGAAATTTTGGAGTTGAAAAGTACAATAACTGAAACCATCAAGCACACCAACAAATGCATAATAGGAATCCCAGAAGGAGAGGAGGAAGAAAGGGGGAGCAGAAAGAATATTTTAAGAAATAATAGCCAAAAATTTCCCAAATATGATGAAAACCTATGTGTACATTCCAGAAGCTCAAAAAACTCGAAGCAGGAAAAAATCAAAGTGGTCCAAACCTAGAAACGCCATCATCAAACTGTTGAAAGACAAAGAATCTTAAGAGCAGCAACAGAGAAGAAAATCATCATGTACAAGAGATGCTCACCTGATTTCTAACTGGTAACCTAGGAGACCAGAAGGCAAGAGAGTGACATTTGAAATGCTAAAAGACTGTCAATCAAGAATTCTATATCCAGCAAAATCATCCTGCAAAACTGAAGTCAATATTAAGACATTCCAAGATAAACAAGCACAAAGAAGTCATTACAATCAGACCTGCCATACAAGAAATACAGAAGTCCTTCTGGCTGAAATGAAAGGATACTAGAGAGGAAATCCAATCCACAGGCAAAAAGAACACCAGTAAGGATAATTATATAAGTATAAATAAAAGACGGAATAAGCATACCTTTTGTTTCTAACTCTTCATTTCTCCTGACTGTGGTAGGTACAAAACCAGTCCACCCCAAAGATGTCCATGCCCCAATTCCTAGAATCTCTGCTTATCAATTTACGTAAGAAAAGGGACTTTAAAAATATGATAAGTTAAGAAACTTTAGATGGGAAGGTTATCCTGGATTATTTGGTTGGATCCCACATAATCATGGCTGTCCTTATAAATCACAGGAACAAGCAAGAAAGTGAGTGTCAGAGTAATGCTGCATGAGAAAGGCTTGACTAGACACTGTTAGCTTTGCAGGCGGAATGGGGTGGCCATGAGTAGATGAATGCAGGAAGCTTCTAGAAAGTGGAAAATGGATTCTCCTCTAGAACCTTCAGAAGGAACACAGCAATGCTGACACTTTGATTTTAACCCAGTGAAACTCATTTCCGACTTCTTACTTCCAAAACTGTAACATAATGAGCTTAAGTTGTTTTAAGCCACCAAATCTGTGGGAATCTGTTACACCTACACGTAGGGAGTATTCAAGACCGCCCCAGTTTCAATGAATTGCTAGAGGGATTTCACAGGATTCAACAATATTAGGCACTGCTCAGATAGACCACCTCTACCTAGCACATACCAAAATTTCAGATTCCCAGGATAAAAGCAGGTGTTCAGCATAAACTATATTGTTCATAAGCAACTTAGGTACAGTAAGCCATTCTTATCAGTTAGGCAGGTGGGAACCCTTCTGAAATCCAAGTTCTCATATGTTAGCCAAGGATGGACCTCATAAGTAGTTCATTCTAAGATAAGCAGTGAGGCTTGCTATATTAACTCTTCTACACAAGCAGCAACAGGAAACTAATACACAAATTTAAAGAAAATGCATAAAGCAATAATCATGTGCAGTTGGGGCACACAATATATAAAGATATAATTTGTACAACAATAACAGCACACAGGAAAGGTGAGAGATGAAGTTTTACAAAAGAAAAATGTTTGTATACCACTGTAATTAAGTTGATATTAACTCAAACTACATTGTTTTAGTTGCGATATTAATTTTAATCCCAATGTAAACCATTAAAAAATAAATTTAAAAAAATAGTAAAAGAAATGAGAATTAAAATAGCACACTAAAAATATCTAACACAAAAGACAGCAATAATAAAAAAATGAGGAACAAAAAGACACAATACACATAAAACACAAATATAAAATGGCAGATGTAATCCTACCTTATGTGTAATTACATTACATATAAATGGATGAACAAACCAGTTAAAAGCCAGACATTAACAGAATAGATTTTTAAAAACATAGTCTAACTGTATACTATCTACAACAGAAACATTTTAGATTCAAAGACAAAACAGGCTTAAAGTAAAAGAATGGAAAAGGATATACCATGCAAACAGTGCCAAAAGATAATCAGGAATGGCTACACTAATAGACAAAATAGAATATAGTATACCTGGCCAAGTGGTTCAGTTGGTTGGAGCATTGTCCCATACACCAAAAGGTTTTGGGTTCAATCTCTGACTGGGCCACATAAGGGAGGCATGGTAACTGAATGATGTTTCTCTCCCACCCCCCACCCCCCGCTTTAAAATCAATAAAAACATATCCTTGGGGAAGGATTTAAAAAAAAAAGAAAATCCTTTTCTAACCTACTGATAAGATTTAAACTTATAGAGTTAAGTATTTGATTAAAATTGGCATAAAATTCTATATAAACTCCTCTTACTGAAAATGTAGACAATTTGGAAACTCATAATTCTCCTCTGGAACACCTAAAAATAAACAATTATTTTATAATTCTTATTTTATTTTTTAAGTTTTAAAAAAATATTAATCCTCACCCAAGGACAGGCTTACTTACTGAGAGAGAGGAAGAGAGAGAGAGAAAAAGATCAATGTGAGAGAAATATCAATTGGCAGCCCTCCATACATGCCGCAACGGGGGATCAAACCTGCAACCCACGTATGTGCCCTGACCAGGAATCAAACCAGCAACCTTTCGGTGCAACACTCAACCAGCTGAACTACTCTGGCCAGGCATAAACGATTTTTTTAAAAAAAAGAAAATCCACAGAATAAGAGAAAAATTTTGCAAAGCACACATATAATAAGGAACTTATATATAAAATATATAAATAATTCTTACAACTCAATAATAAAAAGATAACTCATTTTTTATGTGCCAAGGATATGAATAGGTATTTCTTAAAATACATGAAATGCATGAAAATATGCTCAACATCACTAGTTAGCAGGGAAATTCAAATCAAAAACACAATGAGATACCACTTCATATACACTGGTATGGTTATTACAAAAACAAACAAAAAACGACAAAAAATCCACATGTGTTAACAAGGGTATAAAGAAATCAGAACCTTTACACACTTCTGGCAGAAATGTAAAATGGATAGAGCCCCTTTGGAAAACAGTCTGGCAGTTCTGTAAAAGGTTAAATGGAGTTATATATGGCCCAGTAATTCTACCACCCAAGAGAATTGAATACATATGTCCACATAAAAACCTGTACACAAATGTCCATAGCAGCATTTTTCATAATGGCCAAAAAGTGGAAACAACCCAAATGTCCACCAACTGATGAATGGATAAACAAACGTGGTTTATCCACAAAATGGAATATTATTTTGCCATAAAAAGGAACGGACAACAAAAAATACAAAGTGAAAGGAACCAGTCATAAAAGACCACATATTATATAATTTTATTTATGTAAAATGTCCAGCATAGGCAAATACGCAAAGTCACTGAAAGTAAACTAGGGGTGTCCCAAGGCTGGGAAGATAGATGGATAGGAGGTGGGGGAGGAGGGAAAGAGATGGGAAGATTGAGGACTGATGGCCAAAGGGGTCAAAGCATCTTTTTGGTATAATGAAAATGTTCTAAAATGTTCATGACTGCAGTGATGGTTGCATAACTCTGTAAATATTACTAAAAAACACTGAATTATACACTGCAATTGGTGGGTCATATGGTATATAGCTCAATGACAAGGTGCTAGAGTTATGGGGAAAGAAAAATATTTTCTATAAATGGTTGCAGAACAACTGGATACCTCAGTCCTTACTTCATAACATACAAAAGTTAACTCAGACTACATCATAGATCTGAATATAAAAACTAAAACTATCAAACTACTAGAAAAAAAACT